ACTCCCGTGGCTTCCCGCCAAACAACAGACAGGCAGGTAAGGTGAGAAAGAACAAAACTCAAAATCATTAAAAAAAAAAAAAAAAGACCAGGCTTAATGGTCTGATAGAGTCTAGTGAGACCCCTGAGTCTATGGTCTCTAGTCACCCTTCAGGTCTGGAATTGAACTTACTCCCGTGGCTTCCCGCCAAACAACAGACAGGCATATAAGGTGAACATTTACACCAGGTAGATATGCTTCCTAGAACCATCACCCATGGGAGAACAGAAGGGCAGTGTTTGCACAGGGAGGGAGCGCAGGGGGCAGGAGTGCCAGGGAAGAGGGGACCACAGGGAGGAAGTGGGGAGAGAGCTGTAGAGTGTGGAGAACTGCACTCGATGTCATGAAACAAAATATGTAGGAATTGCTCTGTGGAAGATAAGTTTTTTCGGAAAAAAAGAAAAAGGCCTAGCAGAAGAGGTGCCATGGAGAGAGTGTGCGTATCTTCTGGCCCCAGTGTGTCTCAGAGCTTGGGACCTGGCGGTGCTCAGGAACTATGTGGTGCACGAATGAATGAACGGTGTCTGTGGGATGTCTAGATGTCCAGAGTCAGGCCCTAGACATCTGGATTGGAGCTTGGGAGTGAGGCTTGGCTGAAGCAGAGAAATGGCAGCGCATATGGATGGGGAAGAGAAGGGGCAGGGCCGGGCCCTGGGATGGCCTGCCGTTGAGATGGCAGCTGGTGACAGTGAGGTCGGGGGAGCTGAATGCCCAGCCACTCAGCCAGGTCTTCCGTTTGTGCTGCATCATGATCCTGGGGTCAGAGACTGTCCCCAGGCCTCTCCCTGAGGGGCATGTGGGGGGGGGTCTGGTGTACCCATTCCTCCTCCTATTGTAGCATCTTGCCATTTGGGGCCTGCACGTTGGCCTGGGGGGCACCCCTAAACTTGAGATGAAGGCAGGGTCTACAGCCTGTAGCTTCTCCATCCCCACATGTTGTTTCCAGTCCTATTATCACGATGGCCCCACACCCCCTGCTCAGAGTCCTTGCAGTGCCGTGTCAGTCCCAGTTTCCGTTGACTGGCACCACGGAGCTACGCCAGGAGCCACACCAGGGCCCGAGCTGCCCCAGTTCCGGCCCAGCCCTAGGCCCTCCCGCCTCTCCTCCAGTCCAGGTTCCGGTGGACTGGCTTGTGCCTCCAGCATTGCCTCCTTTTCCTTTCTCCCGGCTCTGACCTGTTGACCCCAGGTCATCCACAGTCACGCTTAGCTCACCACCACTGCCTGCCCCTCTCCCTCTCTCCCTCTCTGTCTCCCTCTCTTCCTCTGTCCCTCCCTCCCTCTCTTGCTCTCCCTCTCTCTCTCTCCCCCCTCCTCAGCCTACCCTACAGTGACATCCCCTCAACTTCCCAGAAACACTCTAGCCAAGATCACTAGTGACCTTCTAGCTACTTACCCCAAAGGAAGCTCAGGTCCCCCTCACCAGCACCAGAGAACCTCCCTTCCTTTCTCGAAGCATGTGCTCTGGCTTCAGGGACAGACACCATCTTGTGCCTGGGCCCCCTCTCGGGATGCCCCGCTGCCCCTACCTCATCTGCAGTTGTTGAAGTTTCAAGGCTCAGGCCTGGGCATATCCCTCTCTTCCTGCCACACTGCACTGGTCCTCACACTTTCTAGAACTTACTTTCCCCAGATAACACCCAAAAATCATTTAGAAGGCTGCACAGCATCCGTGGTTTCAAGGACTCTGGAATCTCACCCGGGAGCTCTGGTGGTGTAGTGCCTAAGGCACTTGGCTGCTAACTGGAAGGCTGGCGGTTCAAACCCACCAGCCGCTTCTCAGAAGGAAGGCTGTGCTATCTACTTCTGTAGAGATACCGCCCCGGGTCTGACTCCACGGCAGTGAGTTTGGTTTTCTTTTTGGAATCTCACCCGGGTTGAAGTCCTGGTTCTGCCCCTTCATGGTAGGTGACTGGTGGGTGACTGAAACAAGGTGAGCCCGCTGCAGAGAGTCCCTGGGTGGTGCGCAGGGCTAAGCACTCACCTACGAGCTGAAAGGTTGGTGGTTCAAACCCACCCAGAGGCGAGATGCGCCTCGCCTCAGAAAACAGGCCTGGCAGTTGGCTGCTGAAAGGCCACAGCCTTGAACAGTCGATGTGGCACAGTTCTCCTGTGCCCACCTGCGGTCTGGATTGACCCGACGGCGACAACTGTTCTGTGCAGAGGGGGCCCAGGGCCATCCAGCAGTCGTTGCCTGGCCTTTCCCGGGTCAGCTCTTCTGTTAGGCCTCCCCCATGCAGCCAAGGGCTCCATGTCAGCCCCAAACTTCCCTTGGAGTTCCCAACCCTCATGTCCAGCTGCCCAGCAAACAGCTCGCTTGGCCACCCTCGGGCTTCCAATGTGACCAGCCCGCCTCCAGCCCCCTGAGACCTCTGCCTTTCCCAGGCTCCCCTTTGTCATAAGCATTTCCCCATCTCAATACTTCCCTGAGCGTGACGCCTGAGAACCCTCCCTTTACAGCCCTCACCGCACATTCGGCCCCCACCGATCATGCCCGTTTTCCCTCCTACAGACGTTGGGAAAGCTACCTTCCCATGTCCGGCTGGGCATCTCCTTGCTACCTGGCTGCCTGAAGCAACTCAGGTCTGTCTGTTCACCTGGCAAACGGGTGTTGCAAGAACCTGTCTGCAGGTCGGGCAGCGGCTTGGAGAACGTGCCAAAGGCCCTGAGGCAGTTCCACCTGCCTCCGCCTCAGCCTCCCTCCGTCTCCGAGGGGCTTGTCCTCTTTCAGTCTGAAACACACCTGTGTGCCACTCCTGGTGCGGGAGACTGCTGTTTGGGACCACCTCGCATCTTCTGCCCTCACTCAGGACCCCTTGTGAAGGCCATGAGGTTCTGGGGGATAAGCCCTGAAGGGGAGCCCGTCCTGCCCTGCTCTTGACACAGTGCAGGCCCGTTCCGCCCATCGAGACCAGAGGGCTTGTTTGCCGGAGTCATCCGAGAAGCTCCAGGGACAGAAAATGCCCTCGGGTTCCGTGGCAGGTGTACCCAGCCACCTTTGCTCATGAAACGGGCGGCCTAAGGGGAAGTGGGCATCACAGGACGCCAAGGAGAGGCAGGGAGAGAGAGGGTATTGGGCGAAGCAGCTCATTGCTGCAATACCCTTGGACTTTCTTCACCTTTATCGTTAAACTCATTCTTTGGATCCAAAGGTGGCCCAGCTAATACAGTTCCCTTGGGATAAAAATCAAAACCTCCATCACTTTCATGTTATTTAACATTTTCAAGTCAATTTGCTGCCTAACACGAGATGACAGCAAGCCCTGGCCCGTTCTCATGAGCGACTGGGCCACAGATACCCTGCCCTTTCTGATCCCAGCCCTCGCGTGGTCCAGGGCCTTTGATCTGGTCTTCATAGCGCCCCCACACACTTGGGCCTGGGGCAAGGGGTTCTCACCTTCCGCTAGAGGAGCAGGGAGCCAGGGGTGGCCCGGGGAGGGACAGGGGCTGGAGCAGGGCGGGCTGTGTACGTGGTTCCTACCGGCCTCTACTGCCCGCCCTGCATTCTCAAAGCATCAGTGCTCAGATGGCCTCCTGCACCCCGGTCAGGACAGGGCGAAGGAGGGAGGTATTGATGTGCCCAGCGCCTGCTTCTGCACCCGTCAGAGGAGGAGGGATGTGGAAAGGGAGGCTAGTGCAGGACACAAGCAAGTCACCTGTCACCCCTCATGGCCAAGAATCACCCCCTTCCAGGAGGGGGCAGAGAACTGTGACATGACAGGTCAGGACACACTGTGGTCCACGCTCGGCCATCGCTTCCCTTCTGGCCTGCTTGTTTGTCAGACCCACTGCTGGCTGGGGTGAGGGTGAAGGAAGATGGCCTCAGGTGGGAGGTGTGGCCCTCCCTGGGCAGAGCCAATGGCTGGGGACTGGCATGGCATGTGCCCCAGGTCACATCAAAGAGCTGGGCAAATTTCACCCCCAACTCCCTGGCCCCTGACCTAGTTTCCCTTCATCAGAGCATACTGGTGCAGTAGCCCTCAGGACCCCAGGGCTGGCTGTTACATGCCAGACTGTGTGTCACATGGCCACCTCTGGAAATTAGTAGAGGCTGGACCTGCCTGAGGGCAGGTGGGAGGACAGGGCCCCAGAGATCAGGTCTGCCCTTGTGGGGGGCGCAGGGATTGGTGGAGGATTTCTGCCCAGTGGGCTACCCGTGCAATACCACAGCCCCTGGAGGCCTTTCAGACGAGCTTGCTCCTTTTCACCCTGGAGCACTTCTAGAAGGTGGCAGGACTCCAACTGTGTCCCACCCGCACTTCATTGCCATGAGCTTCTGTTGCCTCACACTTGTGAGGGGCTGCCGAGGGGCCCAGGCCCAGTGCTTTGACAGTGACTGCGCCTAGCTAGAGCCAGTACCAGCCAGGTAGCACCACTTTTATTATTCTGAATGGCACATACGGCCACACCTCCTCCCACAGGCCAACAATCCTATTTGGAGAGACCCTTCTCTGAAGCCTCGGTCACTTCAGGATGCAGGAAGCGGCCAGCCAAGCGTTCAATGTCATCCATGGTCAGGCGGCTCAAGGACCTCTCATACTCCTGAGGAGAGAGGACCAGGAGGATTTGGGGGGTGCCAGTCAGCAGGGGCTGGAGCAGGGGACCGCGCGGGCAGAGGAGGGGTAGGCTGACAGGGCTACGTTCTCACCCGCTGGAGTTGTTCCTGCACCCTGTTGGCATCTGCCGCACTGAAGTGTCGGCCCAGAACTTTAGCGATCACCTGCCAAGTCTCTGAGGGTGGGGCCAGGGCCCGGGGCTGGGCCTCTGCCTGTCTTCGGCCAGTGCCTTGTTCCAGTAACACCTTCTCCAGAGGCTTGACCACTAGGTTGAGTTTGGAATTGGGGCCAATGCTATAATCTGAGAGCCGTTTCCCATCTACCAAGGAGAAAGTGATGGAGTTCGTTACCCCAGCCAGCCGTGGAGGTGGCTGCCCAAGTGGTGGTTATATTTGTGTGTCAGCTTGGCTGGGCCTGGTTGAGTGGCTGGGCAGCTGGATGTAGTATTTCCCATGATGAGACTGGTTATCAACTCCATGGTGGAACGTACTGTGAGCAGCTGAGTAGCTGCGCTAGGGATGTGGTCTGCTTCCTGCATATAAGGAGAAGCCTTGGAGAATGGTCTCTAGCTTATGGCGCGCTTGGACCCTGCATGTAGCCGTGTCATTGTTCAGCAGCCTGCCATGCTCTGCCAACCATGGCACTTTGAGTGGACTTGAATTAATGGCCTGCCGTGTGGTTTGGTAACATCGGGACTGTGCCTTTTTACTTGTCAACCTTGGGGCTTCTCAGCCTCAGCTGCCAGCAGCTGTCTGAGTGAAAAAAACGTCTCTCGCTCCAGTGGGCTGGGAGCAGGAGGCAGAGCTGGACCCCAAGGTCGAGGGGCTTTCACCCAGCCCCTAGAGCCTGGCACTTTGAACTTGGACTTCTAGCCTCCCGAACTGTAAGAGAATAAACTCCTGTTTGTTAAGGCCATCCCATTGGTGGTATATTCCTGTCAGAGCGGCCCCAGGGAACCAGAACACCCGGGAAGTGAGCCCAAGCAATGGCACTGCAGCCAGCTTGCTGCCAGGTGTCATCTCCCTTGGTGCGGGAAGTCTCACTGTGGAGCGTCACGCTCCGACCAGTCTCGGTCTCGACACCCCGCCCTGCCTTCCTGCGGGGCTCCCCGGGCGGCTCCGCACCCCCGGTACCTGCCAGGGCTTTGCCCTTGAACAGCAGCCGCTGCTGGCGCACGGGGACGTTCAGCTGTTCGGAGACCAGAAGCTTCAGCGAGGACACCATCTCGTCCTCTGACACCTGAAGGGGCCGAGGGTGGGAGGCGGGGGTGAAGGCCGCAGTCCGCGGGGCTGCGAAGCCCTCGCAGGCCCTCCTGGGGTCAGCTCTCCAGGCCTCCCCGCCCCGGCTGGTGGACCCGCCCGATTCCCTCCCCGGGCTGGCGCCGTTCCTGGTCTTCGCTCCTGGAGGGGGTGAGTGCGCTAGCGGGGCAGAGTGGCCCGGGCCTGG